CTAACCAACTCAATGTAAGCGGATAACTGATAACGCAGCTTCAAAATATTCTCTTATTGAGTGACAGCAAATAAGAAGTGGCATATATATATATATATATATATATATATATATATATATATATATATATATATAAGCGACATAGACTTCACCAGATGGACACACTTAAATCGACCTCAGATCGACTTCATCTCGATGTGAAGAAAGTGGAGACGTAGCCTACTGGACACAAGATCAAGAATGGGAGCAGATGTAGGTTCACACTATTGTCTGGTTCAAGGAACCTTCCAAATCAAGTTGAAAACCTTCAAAGAAGTTGATGATAGACCACAGTTCAAGTTCAACACCCAGAAACTCAGAAACTTGGCTTGTCACGAAAAGACTTCCGACAAACTAGACATTCCTCACATCAACAGCTGCCGCCTACGCTCACTCGATACTGAAGATCAGATGGCCAGAATAATCAGAATAAACAACAAGGAACTCTGGCCAGCTGAAAAGGAACCAACCAAGAACCTATCGCTCAACAAATATGCGGTGGAAGGAAGTGGAGATGGATTGGGCATGCCATGCATTGAGAAGACCATTCGGGGACATCACGCGCTAGGCCAGGTCGTTGAGTGGAATCCAAATGGGAAGCGACGAGTTGGGCATCCGTGGTGAGGGCGACATGAAGGAGAAGCTGTCAGGAAGAAATGAAAGCCTGTGGGAAGTGTTGCAGCCAGGTTGAAAAGACTGAAGAGAAGAGAGTGCAGTGGATGCCTGCTACTGAAGCCCTATGTTCCACTATGAAGCCAAGGGACAAATTATATATATATATATATATATATATATATATATATATATATATATATATATATATATATATATATATATATATATAGGTAGATAAATAGATATTCATGGTCACGTGATATTGATTATTCTGTGTATAAATATCGATTCAAGTCACAATTATATGCATCACATGTACCATTTATTCTTATAACATCTTTCAATTTGAAGATTTACTAACTATTACGTTTCCTTTCTGATCATCTGTGTGGTATCATTTGAGACAACTGTATTGTTTTTATTTATGCTTGTTTTTTCTCCATTTTGTACTTCTTTTTTGGAATCGAATTATTATTTTTCTCTTAAAATAAGGGTTTATTTTTAAATGAACATTTCTGTACACCAAAATAGGACATACATCTGTAAAGTATTTCATACTGAAATGAGCTTAAATTCAGGCACAGATCAGAAGAAATCCCATGTGTTAGACGAATATTTAACCAGAACGAGAAAATCAATTTCTATAACAATCGGCTTACTTCAAGAAATGCATCTTACTTGTATGCAATAAAGTGACTATTATTATGACTAATAAATAATGAGTCCTCATTATAGAGGTGTTGTAGCTAGTACTCGAGTCTAGGACACGCGTTTTGTTCTACTTGGGATTTGTCTGCTGGATATGCTTGCATCCCAATGATTTGTGGAATTCAACTCCTCTTTCGAGACATTCATATAACAGTTCACATACGAACCAACAGAAACTGACAGGTTCGATACAAACCAATCAACAACAGGGAAATAATAAGTTTTATTATCGATCTATCGTTGTTCCTAGTTTTTTGTTTGATAACCAACCTATCACAAATCTTCAGATTGAATTATTCTAGCGGTCATTTGTGACTAGATTTTAGAGGTGATTCCCAAAGTTCTAATGAGAAGTTGTGACCAGTCAAGCAAACCAAGTTGAACATGAGGACAGATACTCAAAGACGACATTGGATGGAGGTCATGCTATATTATGAACTGATAGAAGTAGGAAATATGGACCACTGAACTCCTACCCAGAGGCTAAATGGTGACGTGTTGACCATGGAACCTTAAGGTCCCGGATTCGAGCCCTGATGGGGTAATAGGTGAGCACCGCTGAGAAGTCCTTTACTTGGGCGAGACAGATGTCCATTGTTCCCAGGTTTTCAATTCTTCTTTCAGCTGATGCCAGTTCATGATGAATTCTAACCTGAAATCGATTAATAAATCCCCACAAACTTTCAGGTTGAATTATATTAATAAATGTTTTATTATCACTAAGAGAACAGAATCTATCTTGTTGACTGAAGTAAAATCAAGATCTGATCAATAGTCAGGTATCTAAGCTTATTTGGGTACAGTACGAGGTCGGAAAACTGATGGTCACTGGTTTGACTCTTACTGCAGCCCAAATTTTCATTTCACCTTCAGTCATCACCGAGAATCTATCTGAAAAGTTTTAATGTTTTGTGCATAATGCAAAGATACACATACACATACAAGTAGAATTGTTGTACAGGTTTGTATGAAGGGTTGAAGGGTTACATCAAAAGCTAATCAGACGTGTAGACTAAATTGTAAGGGTGGGTTTATGAAGAAAATTCACAGATGCAAGATAAATAGAGATCATAAAGTTCGCTTTCTGAAACCAAATTACCAAAGGAGGTCTAACGTGACGGCAAACTGCAATTAAACATATGAATATAGACTTTGGTCAGTGCTGAAGACTTACGACTTAACAGTTGTATCACAGTCACTCTCTGATGACCGATTTATCTACATAATCCAATCCTATATATCATATTTCATGGTCTCTGTCGTTCAGTGCCGAAGTTTCTGAATAATTGATGAAGACTAAAGTCACCAAGAGAAAACTAGACTACACTTTTGTAGGTTCATCTTGGCGACGAGTGTTAACAGACACAAAATCCAAGTCCAAGACCTTCACGTAATTAACTACCAGAGTAATGTCATCTGTTGGTATTTCCATGTGACCGGACTATTTCAAATGCATTGAATAGATAGGTTCCCATTAGTGAAGGGAAATAGGCAAGTTGGTCATCGAATGAAGAATTAAGAAGAACAATAAATTATTGACTGATGCTTTTAATTACCCGTTGTGATTACTGATTGAAGTAATCGATAGATCAAATCCATGGGTGCTGCATCTGAATCTCAATGGGTGCAGGTACATCCAGCTGACGAGACCTTAATAGGACGAAGAGCGCGTCCTGGGTTTGTTAAAGTAAGCCATTGCTGGAGACATTTGTTTCTTCTTTCTAGTTTAGTGTCCGTTTAAAATGGAAGATTTCGTTCGATTCTTTTCTGGATTTAAATTACTTTTAGTGTAAAATAACCTTTAAATAAATGACCTGATGGTTAGTTCAGTAGACAGAATAGTTTATTTCTATCACGTACAGATTATTCGACAACTAGCATGGGTTAGAGAAGAGTTACTTTATCTAAAGACTGCAATATACAGAAGTATGTGAGAAGTATTTATCTCTGGGGCAGTGTTTGCTGTCATCTCAGGCTGCAGTAAACAGACCTTTTAAATCCAACCGGCATTATTAAGTTTCATTTTCTGAATTGGTCTCCTCGATCCGTTTCGAAAGATTTTTACATTGCGTAGACATCTTTCGATAGTCAAGTCAGCTAACTTTCAGCGATTCAATAAACAGCGGTTGGTTAGTTACAGTTCATGAAAATTGGCAGAATAGGCAGAATGTATTGGTTCTTTCATAGGTCAATGAAAGCTTGAGGTGAAGATGTGCACCACCTCAACCCACTACGGAAAAACCTGCCAAAGTTAGTCATATTCACAGTCTGTGGACTTACAAGTAATAGTTACTGGCGAGGAATTAAAATTTTACTAATAAATTATGTTAAAACCAGAAAGTTTCTACTGACTATCTAATAAACAAGTTGATCTTTAAACTCTACTTCTTATTTCAAAGATAAATGCTTTCTACCCCTTTGCCATTCATTGAAATAGCCCCCAATGTCCACTAACACAGAGTTTGAAGGCAATCAGTTCTTTCCCAAGGGAAGTGGTTTGGATTGCCCCAAGTATTAGCTTGGAGAGGAGTTAGGAATCGGGAACCCGGTAGCAAAGGTTAGTCACTTGATGTAAATGTAAGCATTTATAAGTTGAAGTAGCCTTTTGATGTGTTATGCATGCAAAACGTTTATCAGGTGTGACTGAGAATACATTGTGTCAGCCTATGAAGTGTGATTCATGTAGGAAAGTTTAGATTTTCTGATTGAAGTGACTCAGAAGCTAAATAATATGGGTCAGGATCGATGGAAGTGATAGAGATCCATTCATACATTCGAAATCGAATCAAAATTCACTCAGTAACCTAGTGCCCAGTCATCCAGGATGTGAGGGCTAACAATACTACCCAGCTATCCAAACCGATTATTTTCATTACTTTGTTTTGCACCATTGACTTCCTTGTTGATGTGTTGTTGTGAGGTATAACAGTTTGGACCGATAAAAGGTGACTCGAGGACCTATGTCATCTTTGGCATACATTTTACACTTGTCGACGAAATCTCCTCTAACTATTTAGGCATGATTTGTGGAAGACGAAGTCAGAAGCTGTCACGTCTATCCTACATTCCAATATTCAGCTGATTCACGGCTCTTCTTATGTTACTTCTAGAATTTACTGCGCCGAAGACGAGTGGACATCTGGTACTTGATAAATTCCAGCTTGCATAACAGACGATGACACAGCACTGGAAATAGTTACTCGTAATTTGGGTAAAAACACAACGCTAGACAATATCAGTTAATATACAAATCATTACTCCACCTATATTCTCACGGTTTTTCTCTCTACCTGCTCACGCGTATGTGTATGTGAAGCGTATATACTCATCGCTCTACAACAGCCTCATACGACAGGAGACTTTAAAAAGAAAAAACCTAGTAAAAGCACGCAGAACATTGTAATGAGTAACTTCTAGTGTCTTGGGAAACTGGACTATACAGCGTAAACTCCATCTGTTCTGTTGTGAAGCCCTCTAGTGTTTGACGGCAGTTTTCGTTACGTTTCAGTTCTAGTAAATATGGTCTCACAAATATGCCAGTGAAATGCAGTGCACAAAACAAAACAAAGGTAAATGCAACTGTAGATAAAAATTAGAATAAAAAAAACAAGGTGACATTACAATTTAAGCATACTCACATCTTTTGTTGCTCAATGTTCAATGTCCGAGATATTCAATGTTCAACACGCTCAATATCCAATAGTTTACTTTCAGTGTTTACCTCTAGCAGAAACACCGCCTTTCTTTAATTCGTGTATTTTCTAATTTTTCATCTACTGTCTCAAAAAATACAATACAATGAAGATTTCAGTCACAAAAAACCCATGTGTATACACTAAGGAGTATGGATACTTATATATAAGTCTGAATACTTGAGAATGAGTTTGAATTGGGTATGAATGTTTAATCAACATTTAGTAGAAGATGAATAAATCAATCAGTGAAAGTTTACACAAAACTGTGCCCTCATTTGTTCACATTCTTTCATAACGCTGAAAAAAGTGTGTTGTATAAAAAAAAAAGAACAACATTAGCATGTATAAAATAATCCAATCTGATTAGAAGTAGACACTAGATTAGGATCGTACCTCCCCTATCTGTACTATATGTATGCCTTTCAGCAAATGAGCACATCTATAGTGTTAGTATACAATAACAGTTTACACAGTTCATGCATATATGCACAACTTACGCCTTCACACGTGCTAATAAATTATACAAAAAGAACTGTTTACTAAATATTTGGCAAATAGAAATTTGTATAGCTGTATTTTTAGTCTAGTGATTATTTTATAGTGAGTGGTGGATTAGAGTTCAGACTATTAAATTTAGCAGTCGACCTTGAGATCAGTTATTCACTATTTTTTATGTAGAGATACGATCGTATATATATATATATATATATATATATATATATATATATATATATATATGTGAATTATGAAGAAACACAATATCTGTCTGTTGTAAATCAGCCTACATAGCACATATCACTTAGTATTATACTGCAGTGTCGTCTATACAAAAAGTTGAGTATACATTAGGTTCAATTATGAGGAATCTTAAAGTTCACCCTAGGAAAGTACTATTCCATAAAACAAAGGAATGCCATTGGCTGTCTAGTCAGTTGCTAGGCTGGCCTTTAAAGTCATTCCCAGTTATTGGCAGTCATTCAAATTTCAGCCACTCTAAAGGTCATCCTAGCAACAACCGAAATGACTAATTAAGTTTCTGTATTTCGACTGGAAGTGCAGATTTTCGTAAAACATAGAAATCCGATTGGTTATTTCAGTGGTTGCTAGGGTGGCCTTTTGCGTCACTTCAAAATTAGATGAGGACAAGCAATTCGTTTTGACTTCTCAACCCTCCTCATATTGTTTACCAAGGTACTGAACCAGGTGCTGCGAGGTATTGTTGTTGATAGGTTCACCTGTATTAATTGTCTTCTGAACCATCTCAACAGCCCTCATCCATCAACTCATTTTACATACGAAAATGAAATCAATGATTCGATACATTTTTTTCATGTGACAATGATAAGAAACAAAGATGGCTGTATACTGAGAAGTATATATAGAAAACTAACGTATGAGGCACAGTATACGCACTTTCTCAGCTTCGTACCAATGAAGTACCAACGTAATGTAATCAGGTACCTGGCTTTTAGAGTAAGATCGCGATTTGTTCCAAGGATAAAGAACTACTGTGTATCCATGATATTCCAAGTGAAAAGGGATATCATCAAAACTAACCTGAACTACAGTGATCCTAAACAGGAACTGATGACAGTGGGGAAGAAGCCTTTGTTTCTGGGCTTACAATTCAAAAGAGATGTTGCAAGTGACACTGTATCAAAACGCATGGCTAGAACAATCAGTGGGACGTTTTATGCAGGTCAGCTTTGTATATCATTGAGTGGTCGACCAATGCTCAATCAGAGACTAAACGATAGCCCACCTGATCTTAGCTTTTCATCTTGCATATATCAATTTAACTGTTTCTGTAGAAGCAGTTACATAGGGAGGTGCGGCTCCGGATACGACAGCACTTACCAGCTTGGTTAGGAAAAGAGGAAGTGAAAGTGGTGAAAGTTCACTCCTAGCCCATCTAGTCGACACAGGGCATCACATAAATGCTAATAAAGCTTTTAATGTCATTCATCGTACTCCAAAAGCGATACCACATGTAACTCATCAACACCTGCTCAACATAACTGAGGCTGTAGCAATAAGATTGATCAAGATTGATCTGCATTCAGAAAGAACATGTCCAAGTGTTACTTTTCCCAAGGTCACTCCCGCCATCTTATTCCTTATCTTTTTGTTCATTATCATATCATTCTTCCGTATATGTATCATCTCAATATTTACTAACTTAGAAAAGATAAATCAATTTCTTTACAATTCATAAATCTCACTCCATTTTGAAAATGTGCCTACCCATAACATGGCTTGTTTTTACACTGTACAAATGCATTTTATAATTGTAGAAACCGGAAGAGAATTCCTTTGTTCCTCCAACTGATGTCAGTCTTCGATGAATAACAACTTGAAAGAGAATTTATTGAAAAGAATATTCTCCGTTTAAACTGTCGGTTTTTGTAAGTTAAAAATATTTTATCTGAATCACTGAGTCGATTAAGTATGAATGTTAGTCATTGTCATCCCTAAAAATTCGTTGACACAACCAACTTTATTAAATTAGTAGATGTCTGAAATTGATTTAGGGATTTCAGATGATTTGTTTTCAAACCACTTAAAGATAAATAATTAATGAAGGATAATTCAATCAAAAACTTAAAGTTTTTTTTTCAGTTTGATCTCTACATAGATAGGATATATGTACTTGTAATGAGTTTTTTTTTATTTTGGCACTGAAAGTGATGCACATTGGAATAACTCAGTAAACGTTTATAACGATAAATTGGTTGGTTGTGGCTAGCAGAAGAATCCAGGAGGCGCGTTTCGTCCTATTTGGGGCTCTTCAGCTGGATGTACCTGCGCCCCATTGATGTTGTCCCCACTGGGACTCGAGCCTGGTACCCATCGCTTCAAACACCAAGGCGTTATCCACTATGCCACGGAGGAACGATAGCTACTTCTTGTGCAATGTGTAGTAGTTATTACTATTTATTGACATACTTGTTATTCTCCATTGTTTTGTTGGATCGGATTGTTCGACCTCTATTGGCATATGGGCTCCTATGCGGATACCTTAATTTTGGCTGAATGTTAATTATGATAAATTGGTTGGTTGTGGCTAGCAGAAGAATCCAGGACGCGCATTTCGTCCTGTTTAAGACTCGTCAGCTGGATGTATCTACACCCCAATGATGTTGTTCCCACTGGAACAATTCGATCCAACAAAACAACGGAAAATAACAAGTATGTCAATAAATAGTAATAACTACTATTTCTGATATACCTTGTTAATGACTACTAACAAGCATGATAACTGGCTTCAAAACTTCCTGTTGATTTTCTCTGAACATCCACTTACTTCCCTGTGACAGGTCTGCAGTGGAAAATTATATACATTTTTTCAAGTAACTGTTACAGAAGTCGAAGCAGTTTCTAAATAGGTAATTGAGAATAAAATAAACTAGTGTAGCGGTAATGGATCATTTCTGTGCACAAGAAATGAAACTTTCAGGGATTAATTTCTTCAGGGGAGTATCACTTAGGTATCAACAGAGACACTCATACATCATAAACAGGTCGAAACGTCTTAGTATTACAACAAAGGCAGTTATGTAATTCACTGAAAATTATTATATGTTAATAAAATGATTATTCCGTAGCTTTTGATATCCATCTATATTAAGTTTATCATGGACTGACATCAGTTGGGGAACCATTGAAAATCTGGGAGCACTGGACAGCTGTTTCGTCCTAGTATGGGACTTCTCAGTAGTACGCACCCATCATACGGCTAGGGATAGAACTCAGAACCTTCAGGCTTCATCGTGAACGCGTTAACCATTCAGCCACTGGGTCAGTATCCAGTGGTTCACAGTTTCCAACTTCTGTCAATTCACTGTCCAGTGCTCCCAGATTTTCAATGGTTCCCCGACTAATGTCAGTCCATGATGAATACTACGTCTAAATTTAAAAATTTCCATTCATCTCAAAAATAAATTTATGTCGATCAGTGGCTTTAGTTATCACTTTAAAAAGTTATCAAAATGAAATATATTTCTGTCACCTGTTTTACGGATACCATTTTAAAGACAATATCTCTGAACAAGTGATTGATACAAGCTGAAAAGAAACGCAGGTCGCCGGTTCGAATCCGGCTGTGACTGGTCAGATATTCATCTCACTTTTAATCATCACCCAGTATAAATACTAGTCTATAAAACTACAGCTATCTCAGATAGTCAAAATGATAAGGAAATTAGATGATTATTTTGTTCTGATCACTTCTTGACTGGATGCAACTTAATAATAAAAACGTGGTATTAAACAAATTGAGCCATTAGTTATCTAAAATTTATCTTTCTGATAACATTTTAACTGCCAATCAATTATTATTATTATTATTATGATTATTATTTATCACTTCGGTTCTTTAGTAGCACGTCTCCATTCCACTCTCTTCTCTGAAATCTTTGGAACCTGGCTCCACGACACCCCACAACCTCTCATTTCTTCCTCGCACCATCTCCTCCATGTCACCCTCGCCTCGCATGCCCAACTCGTCGCTTCCCATCGGGGTTCCACTCGAGGGCCTGATGCGTGATGTACCCAGTCGGCCTTCTCAGTGTATGCCCAATACATCTCCACTTCCTTCTGTATATTTGCTGAGTGATAGGTTCTTGGTTGGTTCGTCACCAGCCAGCTAGCCAGAGCTCCTTGTTGCTTATTCTTATTCTTTCTGGCCATCTGATCTTCAGTAACGAGCCAGTGTAGGCAGTTGTTGATGAAAGTCTCTAGTTTGTTGGAAATGCCTTTCGTAACGCGCCACGTCTCTGAACTATACAGAACCACTGACTTGACATTGGTGTTGAAAATTCGGATGTTGTTCACGCTTTATGCTGAGTGCAGTAGATCTCCACACTGGTTTCGGGATAATGAACGCCTGTCTTGCTGTCTTTCCGATCCTGGCCTTGACGTCTTCGTCTTTGCCGCCGCCTGTAGTTGAAACAGTGCTGCCTAGATGGGTGGGTGAAAGAGGCAGCTTCCTTTAAGTTTCTCCCGTTGATAGTGATTGGAGCTTGTAGTTGATCTTGTTGCTGGTTGAATATCTTCAACACCTCTATCTTGTATGCATCCACTTGAAGTCCCGTCTTCGCTGCCCTGCCTTGCCTCTTCTGTCAACTTGTTAGTTTTCGCCTGTAGATCTTCAAGTTTGTGTGACATCAGGCACAAGTCATCGACGAAATCCAAATCTTCTAGGTTCTTTTCTGCAGTCCAGCTAGCGTATCCCCCTCTTCTCACAGCTCCCCACTGTTTGTTGCATGATCCAGTCCAGTCGACCACAATCAGGAATATGATGGGGATAGTAGGCAACCTTGTTTCACTCCTTCCTGTCTTCACTTCAAAAGCATCACTGAGCTTCCCATTGTGAATTACTTGGCTG